CCTCTGTCGTCCCCTTCTCCTCCTGCCTTCAATCTTTCCCAGCATCAGGGTCTTTTCAAATGAGTCAGCTCTTTGCATCAGGTGGCCAAAGTATTGGGAGTTTCAGCTTCAACATCAGTCCTTCCAATGAGTATTTAGGACTGATTTCCTTTAGGATGGACTGGTTGGATCTCCTTGCATCCAAGGGACTCTCAAGAGTCTTCTCCAACACCAAAGTTCAAAAGCATCAATTCTTCGGTGCTCAGCTTTCTTTATAGTCCAACTCTCACATCCATACATGACTACTGGAAAAACCATAGCCTTGACTAGACAGACCTTATCTGGATAGATAGATAAATAACATTCTCTAGCTCCATTCTTCTTTTTCAGAATAATCCTCACTATTCTAAATCTTTTACAAGTATTCTAGCACCATTTGTTGAAATGATTTTCTTTTCCTATTAGATTGCCTTATAATTTTCATCAAAAATTAATTGACATATGTATGGGGCCATTTCTGGCTCTATTCTGTTTCATTGATCTATTTGTTTTGCTTATTCCAGCAACAGACTATCTTGACTACTATGGTTTATAAAAAGTCTTGAAATCAACTTTGTTCTTCTTCAAGTTATTTTGACTATTTTAGACCTTTGCCTTTCCATAAGAATTTTATTGTCAGTTTGTCATCTTATACCAGAAAGCCTTCTGAAATTCTGAATGAGATAGTGTTGAATCTGTATATCCATTTAGGAAGAACTGACATCTTAATATTGAATGCATCTGATCAATGAACATGGAGTATCTCTCTATTTATTTCGATGTTTAATTTCTCTTTGTAATTTCTTATTATTTTCAGCATACAAGTATTGTGCATATTTTGTCATCTATATCCCTAACTGTTTCTTACTTTTTGATGTGTTATAAATGGCACTTCTTTTAAAGTTTTAATTTTGAATTTTTTGCTAATACATAGAAATACAATTCATTTTTAAATATTGAGCTCCTGCAAACATACTACGTTTGTTAGTTCCAGTCATTTTTTAAAATAAATTCTCATTGGATTTTCTACATAAATAATCATGTTGAATGCAGAAAAAGGTAGCTTTTCTTTTTTTCTTTTCCATCTGGATGTCTAATTTATTTTTCTTTTCTTTTTTCCACTGGCTAGAATCTCCTAGGACAAAGTTGAATAAAAATGGTGATGGTGAATATTCTCTCCTTGTCCTAAATCTCAGGAGAAAAGCATTCAATCTTTTACCGTTCGTATGGTATATCTGTATGTTTTCCAAGGATATGCTTTTCCAGATCGGGGAAGTTTCTTTTCATTTCTAGCTTGCAGCAAGTTTTTACAAGGAAGAGATGCTGTGTTTTGTCAAACCGCCTTTCTGTATCTATAGGTATGATGATATAGTTTCTCTTTTTCAGTGTGTTTCACTGAATAATTTTCAAATATTAAGTCAATCTTATATTCCTGGTAAATCTTAATTGACCATGACGTATTACATTTTTATATATTGTTGGATTCAATTTGCTAAAATTTTATCAGCATTTTGGGGGCTTGTTTTTGAAGGACACAGGTCTATAGTTTTCCTTTATTGTCTTTTGCAGGTTTTGATGTTAGGATAATACTAACACCATTCTTTTGCAGATTCTTTTCTCATATATGTTATCACAGAACACTGAACAGAGTTCCCTGTGCTATACAGTCGGTCTTTGTTGGTTCTCTTATATAAGTACTGTGTCTTCATCCCAAGTTCCTGATTTATCACTCCCCCTGACTCTTCCCCTTGGTAACCATAAATTTGTTTTCAATATCTATAAGTCTGTTTCTGTTTTGCAAATAGGTTAATTTGTATCTCTTTTTAAAAAAATTCAATTCCACTTATGAGTGATATAGTATGATATTTGTCTTTCTCTGTCTGATTTACTTCACTTAATATGATAATCTCTAGGTCTATCCATGTTGCTGCAAATGGCATTATTTGATTCTTCTTTATGGCCAAGTAATATTCCATGTATATATGTATGACATCCTTTCTTCCATTTCTCTGTTGATGGACATTTAGGTTGCTTCCATGTCTTGGCTATCGTAAACAGTGCCCCAGTGAACACTGGCGTGTATGTATCCTTTCAGACTATATAATTTTCTCTGAATATATGCTCAGGAGTGGGATTGCTGGATCATATGGTATTTCTATTTTTAGTTTCTTAAGGAAGTCCCATTCTATTCTTCTTAGTGGCTGTACCCTAAATGCTGATTTCATCTGCATTTTCCTGATAACTAATGAGGTTGATTATCTTTTCATATATCCATTGGACCATTGATTTTCTGTATATCCTTTGCCTATATTTAATTAAAATCTCTCTCATAAAAAAGTTTATAATTATTCTTTATATATTCATATATTAATCCTTTGCCTGTATCTTATGTTTCCAAATATTTTCTGCACTTGTTTTTAAATATTATTTACGATGTCTTTCATCAAATTTATATTTAATGAATTTAAATATTTAAATTTTAAATATTTCAATATTTTATGTAATAAAATCTATACAGTTTTTCCTTTATGATGTATACATATCATATTGTGTTTAGAAATGCCTTTCCCACTCAATAATTATAAACATTCAAATAGTATTTTCTAACTAAAGTATTTAGCACTTTATTATTTATGCTTGCATATGAAGTTGGAACAGATCTAACTTTGTTTTTATCCAAATGGATGATAGCCAGTAGTCATACCACTACCTTCACTGATACAACGTATATGAAATTATACTTATATACAGATTATGCTTCTAGTGTGTATGCATACACACACACACACACACACACACACACACTGTTTTGACTCTATTGATCTATATGTCCATTTTCAGTACCATTACCACACTTTTAAAATTAGTATAGCTTACGGCATATTTTGATATGTGGCAGAGAAATTTCCTCCTAATTGTTGCCATTTGAAAAATTTCTTGACTATCTTGATGCTTTCTCTTCTAGATCAACTTGGGAAGATCAATTTCGGAATGAGCTTGCTTAGTTTCATAAAGATTATGTTGAGGTTTTACTGGAATTGCATTGGGTTTCTAGATTAACTTGGAGAAAATTGACAGTTTACAAATATGGACTAATCAGGAAGAGAATATTTTTCTTCATTTATTTACATCTTCTTTTATAGTTTGAGGTAATTTTGTTTTACATGGGGTTTTTATCATAAGTATTGAAAATGTCTATGTTTAGTATATTTCCAGCTATTTTATACACTTGTTGTTATTAAGAATTGGGCCATTTCCCCCCTGACATTTCTAATCGGCCATTGTGGTGCATAGGAAAGTGAATCAGGTTTTATATGTTTTCTATATATGTATCTAAAGTCAATTCTTCTTTCTTCATATAGTTTTTCTGTTAATTGTTTAAAATTCTCTAGGCAGATATTTTTATCATCTATTAGAGCCCAATCTGTTAGCTTTCATACTACATTACTTTCCCTTCCCCTGTGAGTGTTAAATTTGGGAATTTAAAATATTAGCATGGACATTGATGGGAGCTAAACAGTTTTAATTTAAAACATAGTGTAAATTTCAGTAAATAAGAGATTTTACCCTGATGTTGGGAAAGATTGAGGGCAGGAGGAGAACAGGGTGACAGAATATGAAATGGCTGGATGGCATCATCAACTCAGTGGACATGAGTCTGGGCAAACTCCGGGAGAGTGAAGGATGGGGAGCCTGGCGTGCAGCAGTCCATGGGGTCGCAGAGTCAGACACGACTGAGCGACTGAGCTGCAACAAGAACAAAGAGATTTCGAGGCATGCTTCTGGCCCATTCTATGCATTTTATATTTTACCCTGGCTTTGGGACAACAGTCATTAAACTTTTTTTAAAAATTAAGGCATTGTTAAACAGAACTGTGTATTAAAATAATATTCACTAACATTTTAGATTTTATTCTTAGCTTAAAAAAGTAGGACATTAAGAATTCCTTTAATGCTTCTTTAACAAATTATCTACCATTATCTAAGAATGAGGCATCAAAGGCTACAATTTAAGCTTCTGAGGAAGTTTAGATATATGAACAGGGCATTAAGGGGCCTATTGAATGTGGTTTCAATTTTTCAAATGGGAAGCACGGACCAAGTAAAATTTACATATAGTTTTTTTGAACAAATACTTGGAAATTTGATCACTTCTATGGAACATTTGAACTTTATGTTCAGATTAGCATCTATAAGAGCCCACTTGCTAATTAACAGGGAGTAGTCAGAGAGCCATATGATAAGAATTGAAAAACAGTCTTTACACTAAAAGATGTAATGTCATATTTTTATGTAAACATACATCTTAAAGTATTATCTTTTTCCTCCAAGGACAAAAATGGATCATTTCAATCATAGTCAGCAGGTCTTTATTTTTAAGTGATTTTTACCTGATTTCAACTTTTCGGACCATTCTCAATAATACTTTGAAACAAAATGATTTAAACGACCAAACAAAGCAAGCAGCTCTGTTGGCCTCTCTTGTTTTCCTAGCACAGACAGCCAGTGTGGGAAGGCACTAATCCAGCTCTCTAAACTGGGTTAAGTTCTCCCTTGCTGCACCCAGGGTTTAGGAGCTGGAGACTGAAAAAAAGTGTTGGAGACCAAATTGAATCTCCCAGTATGCAGTTTTGACTTCATGGAAACACAGGCATAGTGATCTTGTAGAGAAAACTAACAAAAAACCATGGGGCTCCGAATCCCCTCTCTCCATCCCCTTTTTTATTACAATTACTATAGGAAAGGGATCACTGGAAAAATAGAAAGAAGAAAGGAGAAAATGAGAGGGTGGATAAAACCCCAATGTCTGTTCAACCATGAAGCCTGACAGAAAAGACATTGGAGTAGATACTTTCTTGGAGAAAAAATGCATGAGGGTATGAGGATGAACGTAAGGAAAGGGATAGGGAAGATTAGATTTTAAAAAATATATCAATTCAAGTCAAGCATTTTCCCCCTCATTGCATTAAAAGGGTACCTACCAGAGCTTGAAATTAAGGGTGATCATGAAGAGTGATGCGGGTGGTGACATTTTTTGTTCATTAAGATTAAAGAATCTGGAATTTAAAAAAAAACCTGGAATTTAGTCAAATTTAAGCACTCCTCATGTTTATCCCTTCTCAGTTGTTATTACTATTTCTCCCCCAGTTTCAGTATTACAAGTCATATCTACACATACAATTGAAATATTGGGTTGGCAAAAAAGTCTGTTTGAGTTTTTCCATTACATCTTACAGAAAAACCCAAACGAACTTTTGGGCCAAGCCAATAGTTCAGTAACTATTAAAAGCACATTTTAAATTCTTCCCACAAAGAGAAAGGATATTCTTCAGGGGTGACATCTTATAATCAGAAATAAAGAAGAAAATACAGCAGGGCGGTCTTGTTGGAATCATGTGTAAACAGCATGAAAATCCATGGCCATTCTCTTACCTTTAAGCACGAAATCATCTATTGAAAGCACAAGAATTAAGAAAAGTTATACTGACTCTTTTAAAATCCACTTTTGAATTTATTTTTGCCAACATCAAGAATTCTTCCTGGACATAAACTTATTAAGACAGAACCAAGTAAAACGATGTATGTGTCCAGAAGGAATGGCATTCTGTGTTTTCTATGTTGAGGAGGTGAATTTCGTATCAGATTATGTCAGCACAAGTGGTGGGGTTCAAAATTTTTTACTTCTCCTTTCCCTCCTTTTGCTAGACTTCCCTATTTTTCTACACTTAGTTTTACTAAGCTTCACTTAGCTTCACCAGTTTAACAGGGCCTGGGCAGGCAGCACATATAAGACGTCCTGAAAACACATTGCCCTGTGTAAACAATTGTTTTTGGCAACTCAGAGGTTTCGTGGCAGGACTGCATTTTTTTTTTTTTTTTTTTTGAAAATCAAATGTTTAGGCCAAAGTTAGAATCGCATGTGCATTTTATGACTTGGCATATTCAAACATTACAATTGTGTGTTTAAAAAGGGAATTTGATCTTTTTACTCTTTCTTCTTTGGGCTTCCATTTTTTTCCTAGTTCCATTGTTTTCTCTTTTATAGTACATTTTCATATCCTGGTATATCACTAAAGCATCTGTTTCTCCTCAATCATGATTTTCATTCAAGAATAATAACTCTTTGGTCTCTTTTGGACGTGTTTTGTTTTGCCCCCACATATGAACTCCACTGGAGTGTGTTGAAGGTTAACGGCCCCATTTCTGGAATTTTCTTGGATCCCTTTTGGAGAAAACTGCCAAAGTATATAAGGAGGGCTCAGATGTATCTGGGCTCTGCCAAGGCCTTTGAGAAAGGCTCCACATAGCTGCACCTTCTTCCAGCTCCCTTCTGTTCTCACTGTGCCTAACTTCCTCATGGTTCCACATAAGGGATCATATCTGTTGTTCATGTGGAAAAAGAACCTTTGTAATAAAAGAAATATCAGAATACTCATTTACCTAACAACCCTCGACCTTGTCTATTAATGGGTAGAAAAATGCTTATTACTTCACTGAGTTTGTCTATTCTGTTCCCTTTTCCAACCCACATCGTCGTGAGTCATGAATGTCTCCACTAGTCATTTTCCAATGCTCTTGTCAGTCTTTAGGAACAACCAGAGTTGCTCAGATTATCTTTCCCCACAACTGTTGAGGTAGTAGAGAGATGACGTAAATGACTCAGCATTGCTGGAAATGGCTGGAGGGACCTTTTAGCAGGGTTTTGCCCGAGAAACACCAGGATCACTCCATTAAGTTATCTACCCTATAACACAGTTGAAGCAGTTTGCTTCGGTTGTGACTTTCTGCTGCAAGAGGCTGTAAACTCAACCTAAAGCAAATTCAAGCAAAGAGATTTCAGTGGTTTGTATAACTGAAAAAAAAAGTACTGGGGCCATGTAGCTGCAATCTAATTAAACACTGCTTCTTCCCATCTCCCCGCTGCTAAGTCATTTCAGTCGTGCCCGACTCTGTGCCAGCCCATGGACTATAGCCCGCCAGGCTCCTCTGTCCATGGGATTCTCCAGGCAAGAATACTGGAGTGCGTTGCCATGCCCTTCTCCAGGGGATCTTCCCAACCCAGGGATCAAATCTGTGTCTCTTATGTCTCCTGCATTGGCAGGCGGGCTTTTGTTTGTTTGTTTGTTTTACCACTAGTGCCACCTGGGAAGCCCCCCATGAAATTAAAAGACACTTGCTCCTTGGAAGAAAAACTATGACAAACCTAGACAGCACAGATATTAAAAAGCAGAGACATTACTTTGCCGACAAAGGTCCCTATAGTCAAAGCCATGGTTTTTCCAGTAATCATATATGAATGTGAGAGTTGGACCATAAAGAAGGCTGAGTGCCGAAGAATTAATGCTTTTAAACTGTGGTGTTGGAGAAGACTCTTGAGAGTTCCTTGGACAGCAAGGAGATCAAACCAATCCATCCTAAAGGAAATCAACCCTGAATATTCATTGGAAGGACTGATGCTGAAGCTGAAGCTCCAATACTTTGGCCACTTGATGTGAAGAGACAACTCATTAAAAAAGACCCTGATGCTGGGCAAGATTGAAGGCAGGAGGAGAAAGGGATGACAGCAGATGAGATGGTTGGATAGCATCACCGGCTCAATGGACGTGAGTCTGAGCAAGTTCCAGTAGATGGTAATGGACAGGGAAGTCTGGTGTATTGCAGTCCATGGGTTTGCAAAGAGTTGGACATGACTGTGCAACACAACAAATAACTGAAAGCTCAGAGATGGGGCTCTCTTCTTATGCAGCACAACATGGGGCTCAGATGGTGTCATAAGACCACTAGTCTCTCTCTTCAGATCTCTTGGCTTTGCTCTCTTTAGTGCTGCTCATTCATAGGCAGACTCTCTCCTCAGACTCACAAGATGGCTGCAGAAGCTCCAGAAATTACATCTTCTTGGCTTCACATCCACAAGGGGTCACTGCAGTCAGCCATTTGAAAATAGGAGTGCCAGCCTCAGAAAGCTGAATTTCCAGTGTTTTGGGAAAGAGGAGGACCCCTGGATATCCGACATGCCTAAAGATTACTCAACCCTGGCACCATCCTATCTTAAGACTCGTGATCTGAGACAGTAACTTATTGATTAAATTGTTTTATATGGAGCTTTCTTGTTAAAGGGGAATTCATCCTTTGCTGTTTCACCTTTTGGCCTGAACTTTATTCTAGTTCCATTATTCTCTCTTATATGGTACATTCAGTTGAAAGCATTCTAAATGATACTGTCATTGGCTCCTGTTACGTCATGTGCCCATTCCTGACCATTCCTAGTGGGAACTCAGATCGATGTGTGATTGGCCTCAGCCTAGATGCCCCAGTTCACTTCTTCTATGAACTGGGTTCATCCCACCTGATGACATGGACTGAGCCTAGAGGAGAAAGAATAGCTACTGGGAAATTAGGGTATGGTTTATATAAAACAGTGAAATAGATACTGTGAAGCAAAAATCCCAGGTGTCCAGTTCTTCATTCTTTTGGATGTGACTTTTATTGTCCAGTGGCTTTAAATTCTTCGTACAGGGAGTAGGGACTGTGTAGTTAGTTACCTGGTCTGGTAGCCCAGCATATATAACTTTGGAAGTGTTTTAGATCAAAGGTAGATCTGCTCTGCTATGGACTCACCTCAATAGTTTATGGATCCTTTTCCTCGGTTGGGGCCTCATATCATCAGCCATTTCAAGGTCATGGCAAAGGAAAACGTGTCATGGCCAAGAAAGACAAAGCTTTGAGTTTCTAGATAATCCAGTGCTCTCTAACTGATACCAGAAAACATGGCAGCTAATGAAGCCTCACGTATCATCCTATGCCAGGCCCCATGGTTTTCTGGCCGCATCTCTCTTATCTCCGGCAGTTCTGTTGGTGTTATGGCTCTCAGAGTCAGCCTGGTATCCTGAACAGTGGGGCCTTAGGTCAGTCTGCATTGGGTGATCTCAATTCTGCAGTTGGCTCGAATTCCATCTGTCAAGAAGCTTTCACAGTCAGACATTTGATAGTGGAACAGTGGGTCCACCAGGATTTCCTACGTATCTGGAAAGAGGAGCAACCCTGGAGACCTGACATGCTCTATGAAAATTAGGGGTTAGTTTTTGCTATTCCCAGTTAGTCTCTGGGAACTAATGTAGTTCAATGTTTGAGGATTGGGAAAAAAAAAACATAAAGAAGAATTTCTCTCTTTTTCATTATGAACTTAAGTAACTTCAAGAGAATCTAATCAACTTTAAACTATTTACTTCCCTCCAAAGTAATTTCCTCTGTCAATGCACAGACATGCATTTTCACTGAGTTATAATTAGTGTGAACATACTTGTTTTTGTTTAAGAAAGGTTTTCTTTACCTTGGCATTCAGATTTGTTTTCATAGGCGAAGAAAATACTGAGCATGAGAAGGAACCTTCGCTGGAGAGTTGGGAGGATTATATGGGGTCATATTATCCCACAGTTAAAGAGACCTTCAAGGACCCCCAATCCCCCCTGTATCTCTGATGACCACACTTCCAGACTAACAAACTCCCTGGAGAAACTTTCCCATGGAAGGGCCTCCCCAGATCTTACTTCACAGCCTCAAAGATGGGCTTTCCCTCCTAAAGGAAGAATGAAACCCCATCCTCTGGGTCTGCTAGGGTGTATTTGTCTGCCATCAGCCTACACCCTTGTCCCATTTTACTTGATTGTGGGGTTATCTAAAATTTAGATTCTAAACTGTTTCCCATGTAGGAAAAGAGTGGAAATCACTCCACTCTGAGACAGTCCTCCCTACCAGTCCCCTCAAATGTCTTTTTTTTTTTTAAGTGTAATCACACACCAATAGTTTCCAATTTATCAAAGCATAAATTTGCCAGTTCTTTTTCCTAAGTCAAGGAAGTAGCTGAAGTTAGGTTTAATTAAAACCAGCAACTATTTGTACAGCTGTCCCGGGTTCATGGCTGGTAAAAGGATTTAGCTTCAAACTCTGCTGCCTAAGTCCTTCGGGAGTTTCACAAAAAAACATTGAGGCTCCTCATCTAGGCAGTGCCAAGCCCTTGCTTCCCCAGTTGCTATGCAAGCAGGCCGGGCTGCGCCCTGACGCAACTTTGCCTTCGGCAGTCAGGCCTTCCCAGCACAAGGGGCCTGAGGATACACAGTCTCTTTCTTCTGTGTGGGGGACAGGGGCCTTGAAGGCTGCTCCACGAAGTCCCTGAAAATTCCCCTAGGGCTCTGAAAGGGCGGGAAGGGGATCAAGCACCGTCTTGGTTTCGTGAGCTTTCCTCTGGTCCTGCACACTTTTCGTTTCCCGGTGGGTCTTTAACTCGTGCACCCCCATCGCAGCCCCCAAAGGGTCTCAGGTAGGCCTCCTTCAAAGGAGATGGGGCGGGGTAGCCCTAGATGGATGCCTCCGCACAAAGCGGCAGGTTGTCCCAGCAAAGCCCTGGAGAGGAGGCGGAACCGGCGCGCGGCTTCTGGCCGGTTTTCAAGTGCACGGGGGGAGCAGGACTTCAGGCAGTCTGGAGTCGGAACAAGCCCAATCGGACTCGAACCGAATGCTGGGGCCAGCGCGGGTCGCTGACCGCGGGCGCGGGGCGGGGCCGGCCCCACATGCCGAGAGGCCGGGAGGCGGAGGAGCGGCGGACTGGGAAAATGACCCCAGCGACCCCACGCGCCCCCGCCTCCATCGCTTGCGGATGCACCTGCCCGGGTGGGGCGCAACGAGCCGGCGGCGAGGGCGAGGACCAGCCCCGCGCCCTTAGAGGCCTCCACCGGCCAAGAGATGGTGGCTCTGCACACCCTTCAGCTGCAGCAGCAGGAGTGGGGCTCGGGGGACCGTCCGGGCGCCCCCGGGAATCCGCATGACCTAGACCACGTGCCCACCGCCCCAGCGTGTCGCTCAGGCCCAGGGCTGGCAGGGCCCAGGCGAGGGCGCGAAGAGGAGGGCGGGAGCCGGGGGATCAGGAATCTGGGGTCCTAGGGAGCAGGCGAGCTCCCCCGAGGTGGAAGCTGTGCGAGGCGCCGAAGGGGGCGCGGAACTGCTGGGCTTCCCCGGGGGCCGCGAGCCCTGCACCCTGGCTGGCGACGCGCAGCCCGCTGGCCCTCGGAGCTGGTCAGAGTGGAGCAGACAGACGCTCCTGGGCCCCCTCCAGCAGGAGCGGTCCTTCCCATCCGCCTGAAGGTGAGCCTGGCCTCCGGCATCCGTTCCCCTGCGGCGGTGCAGGGTGGAGAGGGGGGTTGGCGGCCACGAGGCTGGGCCACAGGATCCAGAGTGGAGCCTCCCGCAGTGATCCAGCCCTCGGAGTGGGAAGGAGGAAGATGGTGCCCGGAGGAGTGGGCAATCGGTGCCCACCTGACTGCAGCACCGAGACACGGAAAGCCTTTACCAAAACCTTCCTCTGGGACCCCTCCCTCGCTCACATGAATCAGCTTCCAGCTCCAGTGCGAGGCCCTTTTCACACATGCAGCTTCTGGGCGGGGAGAACCGCTCCGCCTGCTCTCCTTCCAAATTAACAACCGCTCCCCTATAGCCTCAAATATATGTATTCCGTTCCCTCTGCCGTTTGTATGACGAAATCACCTACAGGTATTTGAAGTTCCTTCACACTTATGAATCGCAGTTATTTTTGCATAAATCCAATTCCCCACAGAGCTCGGGGGCCTTACAGAGTCAACCTAAATTCTCATAAAGTAGCACCAGAGAGGCGTGGGTGCCTGGTGTTGAAGCGTGAATACTCAGGCTAAATTCCTGCTAAGTCGCGCTGCTCATATTTGAAGGGCACAGGTTTCCTCTTAAGGTACCAAACTTTGGTAGCCAATTTAGGCAGAGAGCAGAGTGCCCTGCCTCCTAGGCTGCGTGGGAGCGGGGAAATCTGGGGTCTGGGATCCAGTCTTGGCCTTGCTGTTAACTCTCCTAATTTGTTTAAGGTCACAGATCACTTTTAGACCCTCTGGCCTTCCAATTTTGATCCCTAATATTGCTTCATTCATTCTCTGGGGAGTCTAGTGGAGGGACATGGGGGAGAGGTGATGAAGAAAGGACATTTCTCAAGAGCTGCTGTTCTTGCTCTACAAGCCAATGTTTGGAAAACATTGATATATATTAGGTTGAACTTTATACTCTTAGAAGATTGATTTAAAATCAAATATAATAAAGCATAGCATATACCCGAATAAATATTGTCACCCTAAACTAGGGTTTCTCAACTTTCACACTGCTGACGTTTTGGGCAGGATGATTCTTTGTGTGTGTGTATGGTTGGGGGGGGGGGGTGGTCCTGGGCATCCTCTGCCTCTACCCAGTAGATGCCAGCAGCATACCCTCCCCACCAGTGGACAGAACCAAATATTGCTGAAGTGTGTGTGCTGGGAGGGAAAACGAGATCACCTCCAGGTGCAAATCACTGCTTCATTTTAAAAAGCTTTTAAAAACGAAGCTGCATTTCACCAATGCTCTTGAGGCAGGATGCACCTTTTTTGGTACCACTGAGAAATAATAATAATAATAAAAATCCTACCAATTCAACTGTGACACACTATCAAATATAAGACATATCCTCACTTCAGAGATTTTTGAAATGTGAAAAAACATGCATCTTAGAATTAATGAAACAGAAAGTACTCTGTCATGCCAGGAACCTACACAGGGCACAGATGGGTTGACAAAAGGAAAAGCTGAGTGATCAGTTTTACATTAGGTGATCCAGGAAGGCTTCTTGGAGGAGGTAACCTTTTTTTTTTTTTTTTTAAAGAACGTTTATTCTCCAAGCATTAAAGGGAAAAAACATTTCTGAGGAGCTGTGGGATTTCAGACCCAGAAGCAATGAAAGGACCTAGGGCTTTGGGGGAACTAAAATTAATTCAGTATGGCAGAAGGCAAAAAAAAAAAAAAAAAAGGGTGTTGGAGAGTTAGGTGGGGTCAGATGCAAAAGGCCTCTGGGTCATGCTGAAGGCCTTGGATTATCTTGCAGGCAAAAAGGCAGCTGTTGAAATGACTGAAGCGAGGACCCTGGTAAATCACAGAGGCAAGGTCAGGCCAGAAAAGCATTGTCAGAGGACCTGACCCAGCTTAATAGAAGGCCGCCCTCTGCTCTGGACTACAGCTCATGCCACTTGAGGTTAACACAGCTGCCACTTCTACTTGGTAATCCTTTTAACCCTCTCTACTTGACTTTTTGTTCCAAACATTTTCCACTCTCTGCAAACTTTCTTCATCCAAACCCCAGCCCTCTCACTCCTTTTCTGAGAAAATTGAGGCCATCTGACAAAAATATCTTTCATTTTACCTAAAAGATTTCATTTCCAATTATCTCCTTTCTTGCCGCTAATAAAGAAAATACTGTGTGGTTCCCGCCCTTGCCCACCCCCCAAATAAATTCTTTCTCTTAAGTGCTAGAGCAAATCTTTACCCCTGGACTTTTTTCTTTCAATTCTTTCCTCTCACTTTGTATTTTCCAGTACGTTCCCTCTGCCAGTTCCCTTAATCCATAAATATGCTCAAATCTTCCCTCACTCACCCAACCCCTGGAGTCCTGGTCCCTTTCTTCTCCATCGCAAGCAAACATGCAGACTTCTGGGTGCATGGCTGCCAGTGTGTTTAGATGCATCCAGAGTCCTCGTTAGGAACAAGGGATCTCAGCTTGCTTGCAAACAGGACTCTGCTGTTCAACTTCAGGGGAATGATGAGTTTCAGGGCTCCTGAGAACAGCCAATACTTTCAGAAGACAGAGAAGTGGTTTCTCTGGATGATTTGTCTCCTGGCTAGCATCTTGAAATTTTGCTTGGTTTACTGTTAGGAGAGAAGGCAGTATCTCAGTTTGGATTGTAGGGTAACGATTACAAAGCACTTAGACTCAAGGATATAGCAGTCTGTCTTTCTGGGGGCGGGGGCTAGTTATACAGACTTGGCATCATCATTACTAGTGTTGACTCAAGTGATTTGGGTGCGTGTGTTCTATATTTTTAAATTGAGACCATGCAGGTTGATTTTATACACAAAATGGCTTCAGGAGGATTTGTGCTAAAGGAAACAACACTTGTGTGTCACTTAAAAGTGTGTGGAAATTTCCCCAACATCAGATCCCTCCCACAGTGTTACCTGCCACAGAGAGGAGGAAGATGAACAGCATAGAGATCCGGTCCCATGGAGCATTTCAAACGTGCTCTCTGCTTCCTGCTGCAGACTCTTGGCCGAGTCATTTAGCCTTCTGGTGCTTCAGTCTCCTTACCTGTAATGTGGGAACAGTGGTATTTGACCTATAAAGGTTGTTGAGATAATGCATATAAAGTCTTAGCTACTGGCTGCTCATGGTAAACTGCAATACTTTTGAACTTTTATTAGTATTAATATTAAGAGACTGATGCCTCAATCTTCTTCAGTAGACTTTATTGACTATTATAGTTCATTCTTGATACTGATGGATCTGACTTATAAACTCTGTATTTACTTTTCTGAGGTTGTTGACAAAAACAGTTCGAATAACCCAAAAACATTTCCAGGAAGTGAGTTTCCAGAGGTCAGCATTAGCCCATGGCCAATGACTGACTTAGAGATGTGACCACCAGGTGATTCGCCTATCAAACCACCAGAATTAAGGGACTGAAATTTCCCGGCATGACAGGAGAGAAACCCTCACCACAATATTAATACATATCCTTAAAGTAGTTTACTGTTTTCTTAAAGAAGCCAACACTTCATATTCCTTTTGAGTATTTTGTTGTTGTTGTTTAGTCACTAAGTCATGTCCAACTCTTTGCAACCCTATGGATGTATAGTCCACCAGGCTCCTCCGTCCATGGGATTCTCCAGGGAAGAATACTGGAGTGGGTTGCCATTTCCTCCCCTGGGGGGATTTTCCTGATCCAGGGAACGAACCTGCATCTCCTGCATTGGCAGGTGGATTCTTTACTTGCTGAGCCACCAGGGAAGAAATCATCAAACTCATGCGAAACAAAACAGAACAAAACAAAACATGAAATGAGTCTGTACATGATGGATGAAAAAATGCTTAACAAAACTGAGTCTTGTTAAATTTGGTGGAGAAGATGGAGTTAACCAGTTTGATAAAAATTTACTATGGGAGGAAACTGAGGTGCAGAGGAATTTAGAGCTTTGCTCAAGAAGTACAACCCCATGATTCAAACGTGGCTTTGTCTGACTCTTTCCATTGATACCAGTCACAGTGCTGGACTTGCCTGGTGGCTCAGATGATAAAGCATCTGCCTACAATGTGAGAGACCCGGGTTCAATCCCTGGGTCAGGAAGATCTCCTGAAGAAGGAAATGGCAACCCACTCTAGTATTCTTGCCTGGAAAATCCCATGGATGGAGGAGCCTGGTAGGCAGTTCATGGGGTCGCAGAGTCAGACACGACTGAGCGACTTCACTTTCACTTTGCTGGCTCATGCGGGTGTGGTGAACATCACACTGAAATCAAGTACATGAGCGTGCACAGTTGAGAGGGCATGGTCGTACCTGCTGTGCGTCTGCACACTGCTTGGGTCACAACAGTCAAGCTGTAACCTGAGTATCTTAGCTTGGGTTGCCATAACCGAATGCCTCAGACTGGGTGGCTTAAACTATAGCCATTTATTTTCTCACTGTTCTGGAGGTTGGGAAGTCTAAGAGCAAGTTTGGTTTCTAGGACGTTTCTCTTCCTGGCTTGTAGATGGCCACCTTCTCCCGGTGTCCTCATGAGGTCTTTCCTCTGTGCACAGAGATATCTCGTTATGTCTCTTCCTATTCTTTTTTTTTTTTTTTTTTAAATTTTTATTAGTTGGAGGCTAATTACTCTACATCATTACAGTAGTTCTTGTTATACATTGACATGAATTAGCCATGGATTTACATGTATTCCCCATCCCAGTCCCCCCTCCCACCTCCCTCTCCACCCGATCCCTCTGGGTCTTCCCANTGCACAGTATGTCTTTGTGGCTTATTTTATACACAATAGTTTGTACCTCCCACTTCCCCACCCCTCTATTGTCCTTCTCCCCTACTGGTAACCACTAGTTTGTTCTCTATATCTGCAAATCTGCTGCTTTTTTGTTACATTCACTAGTTTGTTGTATTTTTTTTTTTTAAGAATACACATATAAGTGATATCATACAGTATTTGTCTTTATCTTTCTGACTTACTTTATTTAGCATTATACCCTCCAAGTCCGTCTATGTTGCTGCA